TTAAAATAAGATAAGAAAGAAATTAGAAATGAAATTTTTATTTCTGATCGTCTGATTACTGCGGATAATTTTTTTTAAACAATCAAACGTTTTCATTTAGGAACACTTTTTATTTGGAATTTCATCCGAATTAATATGTAAATTGCACCCATGTTTGGTTTAAATGCGGTGATTATCACCTATTTTAATGGTTCGACTTGAATCGTCCCACGGTATACCCCTCAGAGAGGTCAAGACATGTTTTGTAAAGGCACCACTTCAGATTTCAAGAGTCATCCACTTTAAAGCAACACTTTCTTACATTACACATTTGTTGGGGAAGTTATTGTTGAGGCGATGACAAGCCGCTGAGCCGGACCCATTGTGCGGGGTCCCTTTTGTGGAAAGGGTCCTCACCGCGGGTGTCGAAAAGAGCTCTTTTGCTCAACAATGGCCCTCTTCCTTCCGTAAGTTGATTTATGAAATCAACCCTCGTTTATTCTTTTTTTTTCTTCTTCCTTTCATTCTTTATTGGAACCTCTTTAGAACAGGGAATGGGTGGCATGATGTGCTGGCAAAGGGGCATCGAGGGGCGGGCAGGGCCCCGATGATCGACTCTTATTGGCGTGATATGGAAGCTGAATGAAACGTTCGATTTTTATATATATCTTTCTGCGACGATGTCTTTCTAGTATTTTATTGGATTGAATATGGCATTTGAGGAGACAGCGTGTCCGTGAAAATAGGCTACTTGAAAAAGACTGCTTAAATCGTATCGCGTTTTGCACATAATTACTGACAATTACATTTGTAATATAAATACATCGAAAACCGATTAATGTAGCTGTTCCTTAATCATAAAGTTGAAATTGCATGTTCAAATTCTTGATCTTGCAGATCATTATGACCCGATTATATTTATATATATAGGGTGAGAACCCCCCCCCCCTCTTGAATCATTGGCTGAAATCTCTTAACAAAGAGACAGTTTGTCTTAAATTCGTTTCATAGATTGCCAGAAAAATTCGTTTATTCTAACATTTATCATTTCTTGTTATAAATGAGTTGTAGAAATTTTTTTTACAAGGAAAGCGTCGAGTTACAAGGAATTAACAGGAATTAGTTTTACAAGGAATTAACAGTTCATACTGAGTGGAAAAAATTATTCAGCAACTCGCGTTAATAAAGCATCTCTTAACAGCCGAAGGGTTAAAATTCAAAATAAATTGGTTAAATAGTTTCTAATAATTGTCTTGAATATAAAAGCCTCATTTTCCCTTAATTAGCGTACTTAATAAATCAGGATTGCCCCTCTAAACTGGAAGAAAAAAGAAATTCTGAAATTATTATACACTATCATCGTGACCTTGCGCGTGAGCTGTATTAGTCTAGCTATACTAGTTTTAATTGGTGGAAATACTTAAAGAAATAAGAAACATCTTAACCTACTCAAAACAAATAATACTATAGTAAATGAAATAGTTGAATGTAGCAGAAATATCATCCTAAAATAACCCACAAGGGATATTTAAGGACGATATTCCCCAATTTGAGAGATCACCACTTTTTAAAAGACGAAAATAAGAAATAAAATTCCCTGTACTTTCCCAGTTTGTAAGAAAAAACTCAAAATTCCCTCCATTCTCTGTTATTTTAGGTGATTTTCAATTTCCCAGTGGAGAGCCAATGCTGTTAAGCAATTTTTGTTTAGTAGACAGAAAAAATTGTTTTGTAAAAACTGCAGGGTATGGTGGGCCGAAAAAAAAATGTAGTTTTTCTTTTTAAATCGGTATAGTGCTTTTCCGCACAATAATGTATATATATAAAAAAACTGCTCTATGTTAAAAAAAAAAATTTATCTATTCATATATATAAATGTTTAAAAGCTTCCGGTTTTGCATTGCACTTGGAATTTTATAGCAGTTTTTTTATATATATGCACAATAATGTATATATATGCACAATAATGTATATATATATAAAAAAACTGCTCTATGTTTAAAAAAAAATTTATCTATTCATATATATAAATGTTTAAAAGCTTCCGGTTTTGCATTGCACTTGGAATTTTATAAAAACAAACAAAATTGAACATTTTTGTAAAATTTTTTTGATTCTAATTAAAAATTGTACAATTCATAGTTTAATTTGGCAATAAAAACATTTTTCTTTACTCAAACAAAGAAAAGGTTTATAAAAATATTTAAAAATAACAAATACAGTGGAGCATCGTTTATACGACGCCGAAGGGACCAGCGAAAAACGTCGTATAAACGATAACGTCGTATAATCGATTTTTACTTCTAAAACTGAAACTAACTCTGTTTTCAGTTNAAAAACTCAAAATTCCCTCCATTCTCTGTTATTTTAGGTGATTTTCAATTTCCCAGTGGAGAGCCAATGCTGTTAAGCAATTTTTGTTTAGTAGACAGAAAAAATTGTTTTGTAAAAACTGCAGGGTATGGTGGGCCGAAAAAAAAATGTAGTTTTTCTTTTTAAATCGGTATAGTGCTTTTCCGCACAATAATGTATATATATATATAAAAAAACTGCTCTATGTTAAAAATTTTTTTTATCTATTTACATATATAAATTTTTAAAAGCTTCCGGTTTTGCATTGCACTTGGAATTTTATAAAAACAAACAAAATTGAACATTTTCGTAAATTTTTCTTGATTCTAATTAAAAATTGTACAATTCATAGTTTAATTTGGCAATAAAACATTTTTTCTTTACTCAAACAAAGAAAAGGTTTATAAAAATATTTAAAAATAAGAAATACATGAAATAATTTTCAACGTATTATTAAAAATATTTAAAATAAACCAAAATTATAAGTATTAATTTTTTTTTAAATTTGTTTTTTTTTTAGATGTTTTAATTTGTATGTAAAATTATTTACTTTAAAACAATGTTTAAGGATAGTATTGATTCAAAGTGAAGGAGATTTTTTAATATTTTGCCTCTTTAATAAAATTAGTGGAAAAAAAAAAACAGAATTTTAGAAACAGGCATTACATTCCAACAGATTTGCAAGTATCTTACATTTTGAACCTTAGTTATTGGTACACAGAAAATTTCAGAATGCTTTAAACAGGAAGCACTTTCTGTAATTTCTATTGGTACCTAGTACAGAATTGCTATTGAAAATCATTAAAAATTCTATTTATTAATTTTAATTTGGGATCTTGTGACCATATTTTTATTCTTTCATAACTATATATTAGTTAATTTAATTTGTTATTTTTTTAAAAAACAAAATTAATTAAATAATTAAAAAAATATTTAACATATTGTACAATGGAAAACAAAGTTTCGTCTTCCTTCTTAATAATAAACACATATGAATAAAAAATTTTATACTCTATGTTTATACATCATATAACATTTTATATATCATTAATGTTTATACGTCATTTAACATGTACATTGCTTAATTTTTGCCAGCTTTTTAGGGTAAAATAGAAAAAGATTCGGAAATATCTCTGGAATGCAAGCAATATTTATGAACTTTCGACGTTGTAATTACTACACTAATTCGAATTTTGAATAAAAAATCGATAATTTACCAACAAAAGAGTAATTGGAATCGAGAGAAATCGCATCAATGCATCAGTTGTAACTATTAGACAACAAACGTTGCTGTTAGCAAGTGTAAGAAAATGTGTGATTAGTTGGCTTTGCTGAGAAAAAATAATTCACAGATTTCATTGGATGGGAGAGGTAAAGCTTTCAGAAAAAGAGTGTAATATAAAGTTTTTCGTTGTTAAATTAATACCTACTAATTTTTGGAAAATTTTATAAAGTAAAAGATACTAAAACATTTTGTCAAAAGAAAAAAACAAACTTGAAAGATATTCAGTCCATGGACTAGAAGAAATACTATTCTTATAAACAGATATCCTAACCTCTTCTTCCAGCTCCACCTTTGCCTTTCTTAAAACTGCATTATCTCTAAAGAGGTCAAAGGTTTCTCCATTAATTTAGCAACCACAGGAGAGTTTAATGTGTTTTTTTTTAGTTTAACAACGTTATAATGGAGAAAATTTTGATGCAAACATAATATTGCTGAGTTGAAGATAAATTTCCGTCTGAAATAAGTGGGTATATAATGGATGATAAAACAGGGTGCGTAGCCAAATCCTTGAATCAAAAATAAGCACTTTTTAAAAACTTTTCAAGCACTCAAAAAATTTATATTCAATCAGTGATATCATTGAAAAACAAACTTTTTATAAACAGTTTTAGCGTTAAAAAAAAAAACCAAAAAGAAACAGACGTAAATCGAAACAATCAGTACTTCCCCACATCATCGAGTGAATTCAACATGACACTGAACTTAGAACAAAAGTACCCGTACCCCCTACGTCAAAAAAGTATTAGAAATAAAATAAACAATAATAAAATTAAAAGTAAAACATTTCATAAGGATCTGATATTTTCCATCCGAATTGGAGCACTCGGGTTTCGGTTTCAAGTGTACGTGCATGCGCAAGTCATAACGTGGGTACGACATGAAGTCCGCGTGAATGATTACGTAGCAAACATCCCATTTTTCGTGAAATGCATGGGATCCACCAGATATCACTGAAGGGAAGAAAAAAAAAATTTCGGGAAAAAAAGAACTTTTTAAAAACGCCAGCTGAAAAATGCACCTTTAAAAGCTTTTAAAAACGAAAACCCCAAAAAAGCACCTTTAAGTACTTTTTACAAACGCTACGCACCCTGTAAAATAATTTAAATACAAAAAAAAATGAGTATAATCAAGAAAAAAATTTCAGCTTTTCTTTAAAAATTCCCCGCTTTTTGTCCATATTTTCCTGACTTTTCCAGGTAGGTGCCCCCCCCCCCTGTATAAGACATTTCCGCACAAATTTTAGAATTCATAACACAATCGGTCACTCAAATATATAGAGCAGATATAACTCATCTCATTGTTTTTAAAACAGCTGAATCAAAATTAAATAAATTTCTTAATTCAAACGACTTGCAAAAAGAAGAAAAAGAAATAATACAAATGATTCACAATAATTAATGATTTTATTTACAAATCTTTTTACACCTAAAAAAATCTATTCAATATCAGAAGGAATAGTTAAATCTTTGTCGTTGGAATGGTCTTGAATTGAAGCCTGGTTTAGATTGGTTACCTAAAAATGTAAACAACAAATAATAAATCTACATTTTGTTTTGAAGTGCATGAAACTGTTTCTTAATGATTGGATTTTCTTAAACCAGGACTCAATTTTAATGGTTTGAAGGCTTAATCATAAATATTTTAATTAGTGCAGCAGACCATATTTTAAATGACGAAATGACCATAACTTGGTAATGTGAACAATCAAAAGAATAAACACCTCAGCATTAATTTTACTTTTTGCCTTTCTTGTCCTATTTTGAGAACTATTCAACCTAGGTGGTTCAAATTTTGTATTTTCATTAAAATGATTTAAAAAATTGTATACCTTATAATTCAAAATTCTTTTTTTACTATCATTAAATAAATTTTGACTATCATTAAAAATTATATATTGCATGGAATTACTTTTGCATAATTGAATTTTTTAATTGTTACTAAATTTTTTCAATTTGTATAAAAAGTTTGAGATGGTAAAATACATAAAAAGATGCATATCATTAAATACATAAAATAAATAATAGAAAATACATTAACATTAAGGGGTTCAACCTTTTGACTTCTCTCCTAACCAGGACCATCTTTTACAGATTATAGATAACCCCAATAATTTGAATTCATAAAAATAGGTATGTTTATCCAGATAGAGTATGTTTCGTGTCTCATTTCATAAGTTAAAATGTCATCTGCAATAATTTTAATCATCATATTTGAGGTCACCCCTTCAAACCCTTAAAATTGAGTCATGGTATGTACTGATCGGATCATTAGAATAAAAGTTATTCGGGGTGTTTTATAGTTTGGTAACGGTCAGGCCTTATGTATAAATCATATTAAAGAAAATATGAAGAAAAAATTAACATGGCAAAGAAAATTCTGGTGGATGAAACTCATGTTAGGCCTATACTACAAATTGATCATTGTTAATCAAGACTTTTTAATATACAGCAGAATCCAAATCTATTAGAATAACATTTAAGTTTCATCAGTTAATTAAACAAACCATATGTTTTGTTTCCACTCTACTAATATTTTGATAGATTTATTTCTGTTTAACTGTTATCAGCATAAAATTAATATAAAATATTTTTTACCTATAAACAATATATCTATTCATTATTTAAAAGTATTTACTAGTAATATTTCTCATCCTTTGCTAATATTATTCTCAATTATTATTACAATGTGATTTTTTTAATTATTACAATGTGATTTTTTTAATTATTATAATGTGATTTTTTTTATTATTATAATTTAAAGGCTTAAAACTAAAAGGGGTGTACATTTATTTCTCATTATATTACCTCATTATGTAACATAAAAAAAGATAAATTTTTATAACAAATATATTGAAAACTGTATTTAACCATTTTGCAATTATTAAACAATAAATAAGTTAACTATTTAAATAAGCTTTATATAAAACTGTTTCGAGTCAAAATATGCAATTAAAATAATGAATGCTTAACTGTTATTACAAATAAACTTTACACAATATTACTAAACAATCTGACAAAAAAAACATTCAACTAATTTTACAATAACCACAAATAAGAATCTAAAAAACCAAAGTTGTATATTAAGTTACAATGATAATCAAGAATAATGAATAAGTCTAAATATTATTCAAATAGACTTTTGAATTAAACCCGTGTAAATGTAATAAAAAAATTGTAATCTTTTAATTAAATAATTTAAATTTATGTAACAATCTGTTTGTTGTAAAGAAATAAAAATAGCAATCTCAAACCGGCCAAAAAATGGTTACAACGCAACAAAACAAATTATAAATAGTTACTGAACTTTCATGTTAGAAGTAATTTCTAGAACTTGGGAATAAAAATTATTTCTGAAAAAGTCTGAATTTTTCATCAATCAATAAAACCTGTGCTTTTGATAATAAACCGAGGTGGGCTCATTCAAACCTTGCCTAAAACAGAGCTGGTAACACTGTAAAAAAGTTTTCAGGAGCAATTCACATGAGTGATTGTCCAAACTCAAAATTCCTGAAACTTTCCTGAGGAAAATCATTAATGATGCCTTTTAAAAAAGTTAAGTCTTTATCAATTTAAATCATTGATATTTTCAAAACATGAAACTCTAATGAAATTATATGCAGCATAATTTAAATGAATAACTATTTATAAGTTTACTTTTATCTCTAATCACATTTATTATTCTATCAGAAAAACATATTTACAAATGATGTCAAGTATAAATTCTAGTACTAATATTTTTAGTTCTAATATATAAATATACAAGAATTTTTTTACATAAATGTGATCAATGATTTCTGGAAATTTCTGGATAGTGGTAAGCGAATAATCTGGAAATTCGGATTTTTCCAGAGCACAATTATCTCTGAACATTGTAAAAAAGTTTTCAGGAGCAATACAGGAAAACATCAGGAGTTTTGGAGAACATTTCTTGAAAATAATGTATAGTCAAACATTTTATTTCTATGGGGAATACACGGAGAGAGATATTTAACTATTCTGCTAAGAAAATTAATAGTTTCTGAATAAATAAATGATTTTATTATCTTAGGTACTCAGTAAAAAATAAAAAGAAACCCTGGTTAATACATAATCAGAGCGCTGTTTTTAAGGTACTCATGATATTCAAGGTTCTTAATTGAATTAAACAGAAATTATAAAAGTTGTAATACATTTGCACACTCAATAAAGTGATTTGAAACTGTGCAAAATTCCTGCATTTTGAAAATTTTGCATGTTGAATAACATTGTATTAAAATAATTTTAATTTAAAACCTATGAAAAAATCTGTGGTAATCGACAAAACTATGTCAATTTTAGTGATTTTTAAATTTACAAGTGAAAAATTATCACCCAATTTCACAGGTCATATTAGCATCATATTTAAAACAACGATACTTTAAAAGCAAAGTGAAAATAATGATTAACAGAAGAAAAAATTTATCAGAGAAGGACCTAAATTTATGACAGACTATAGCACATTAATAAGCAATCATTAACAAGTGAAAGATTATCCTCCAATTTCACAGGTCATATTAGTATCATATTTAAAACATCGACACTTTTAAAGCAATGTGCAAATAATGATTCATTTGCTCGAGATAACTCGGGATGGTAATGTGATGGTAAATGAAATGTTTTTACACATAAAAAAATAAAATTTCAACCTAAACTTGGGTATTATGTTTTGTTTTAGTTCCTCGTATTTATTTTCAAAAAATAAATAATCAATGTAATTCTTTCAAAAAAAATTGATAAAGGAAGCGGTTAAAAAATCAAAATTCCAAACCCCGTTGCTGCATTAAAAAAAAAAAAAAAACTTTTACTCACCTCTGTAGTGACGTTGATGTTTTTGCCCAATCAATGAGTAGAGTTTAGGATCAACGATTTGCTTTGCTTGATTTAAGACATCAACGAGTTCAGAAGCAACACCAACATTGTCTGAAGTGAAGAAGGAATGAGAAACTCCAGACGAGACTCCTCGAGCTGTTCGTCCTATTCTGTGGATGTAATCTTCAATGTTTGGAGGGAAGTCATAATTAACAACGTGTTGAACATCAACAATATCTGGAGTGGGAAGAAAAGATATTAGTTAAATCCAACAACAGAAATAAATGTTCTATCAACACAAGAAAATAATAAAATATTTCATCATTTAGTATAAGAAATTCGAGCTCAGCTGACCACCCAACTGCACCCAATAGCCCAAGGTCAAGAAAACTGGGACAGGTGCTGTAGGCTCAGGCCCCTCCATGGGATGAAAACTTAGAAATTTTATAGAGGAAAAAGTAAAGAAAACTGCATGGGTCAAACCTGAAGATTGAATAGTAAAATAATTTAGATTTATTCAGAGAAAGTGTGTTTTTGTGTCTGATTTTGTAACTTAAATTGACTGCACAAATTAATGAGCATATTTGAATCGAGCCACTGAACCATTGAGATGTACGTGAAAATTTAATAATTAGATCCGAAGTTATTCAAGGTACTCAATTTTCTAATTTGTGGCACTGCACACAAAAGAGGTGGGAATCTTTCCTGTTTTGGGATGCAGATAGTACTGTAAACACTTGTGGAGATGCAGGATTTAGGTTCACCATATGTTTCCAAACTCTTTGTGGCTATTGTAAAGTTTATACATTTATTATTACTTTATGATAATGAAGAAAAAAAAAAAAGGCTTGGAAAAAGAAAAACTGTTGTAATACTACAACTATCTTTGTTAGCAATTTGTTTACAACATTTTCTTTCTTTTTCACCAGAGAGCACTGCTTTGACTTAATTTAATTGCTTTCCCTTTATAAGTTTTAACTAGCCTCTCATTTTTCTTCATTGATCCCAGCTGAATATCACCTTAAAAGAACAAGCTAATTTATTGGTTCACAGCTATTCAGCTCATTCCAAGCTTCAAACCTTTTTTTGGGGTGATTTTTATATTTGCAAAAGGGTGGCAGGGTAGCAAAAAACTTACCTACCCAGTAAAATACACTCTGAAAATCCCAGTAAAACCCACCCTAAAGTGGGTCTTATTGAGTTTTTCTAAAATTGATTTCTTTTTTATCCTCTGTTATATTAAAGAGCTATTCTATTGAAATATATATGTAGTCTAGCCTAAGAAAATGAATCTATGGTAAAAAAAACTAACAACAATCTGCAAAGAAAAATTATGTGTGGAATTCATGAAAAAAAATTATTTAAAAAACAGAATAATTTGACTATAAATCATACAATAAAAGTTATTCCATAAGGGTTTTAATTACACAGACTGAGGAAATACATTAAAAATTCATCAGGTTATCAGTGTTATAATTCATCTATCTTAAATGTCTATGTATTTTAACGCCTTTTGTACACCCAGATTTTGTATCCAAGATTCTTATTAAAATTAATGAAATAGAATTTAGTAAATTGAATATTTAGAGCAACTTCAGTTAGTGCAAAAAAAAA